TTGCAGCATATGTCAGCATTTTCTTCCTTTCTAAGGCTGAAGAATATTCCATTGTATATATACCATAATTTGTTAAGCTACTCATCTATTGATGGACATTGGGATTCCATCCGCATTTTGGCTATTATGAATGCTGCTGTTATGAACACAGGTGTATACACACCTTCTTGAGGCCCTGCTTTCAATTCTTTGGGTATACACCCAGGAGTTGAAGGGTCCTGAGAATCTGTAAGCATGCACTAAAGTTCTGGCTGTACTACCCACATATCTCTCCTTAGGCTAATTCTACCTTAAAATATTTGCCCGGTATTATAAACTAGGGTCTTTTGTTGTTGTTGTTGTTTGAGACGGAGTCTCGCTCTGTCACGCAGGCTGGAGTGCAGAGGCGCGATCTTGGCTCACTGCAAGCTTCGCCTCCCGGATTCACGCCATTCTCTTGCCTCAGACTTCTGAGTAGCTGGGACTACAGGCGCCCGCCACCATGCCCAGCTAATTTTTTTTGTATTTTTAGTAGAAACGGGGTTTCACCGTGTTAGCCAGGATCGTCTCGATCTCCTGACCTCGTGATCTGCCTGCTTCAGCCTCCCAAAGGGCTGGGATTACAGGCATGAGCCACCACGCCCGGCCAAACTAGGGTCTTAAATTATTTATTTATCCCAGGATGTATGTAACTCAGGCTATCATAAACGGGTACGCATCAGGGACCTGTCAGATAAGACGCACCATACTTTATCACATTAACTCAGGTATCATTCAGGTAATTTGTAAGTTAAAGAATTATAATAAAGGAGATAAGCAATCTTCATCATGCTTAAAAAGCTCAAGATGACACCAAAATGGCAAATAAGATGTATAAATTTAGTTATAACTTACATTTAATAGGAATTTTCAAAACAACATACAGATACATAGTCATGACTATCTTAACAGTTGTTCAAATTCTTAACTGTGAACAAGTGGAATCCTAGCTTAATTTATGCAATAACAGAATTTGCCACCAATACCCTCATTTTCAGGAGCGCAGTACCTCCCTTTTCACAATGGGCAGAGGAATAAGAATAATCATGCATTTTTCCATGCCCTTACACAAATGGAAACCTACCTACATACATTTATTTTTGAAGACGACTGAAAGATGGTATAACACAGAGAATAACAATAAATGGTCTAGTTTTGAATCTTAGCTCTCACTTTCTACTGTGTAACTCCAGGCAAGTTATCTAACCTATCTTGGCCTACTTAACTAGAAGTTTCTTATGCTGTGAAATGGGGCTATTCTGCCAAAATGTTCACTGTTGTTAAGAGGATAACATTAGCTAAAAACATGTAAAATGTTTTGCATGTAGTAAGTTCTTGATATATATTAGCTATTAACAGCATAAACTGGCAAACCACATAGCTTGAAATAACCATGATATAATTTCTTATCTCACTGGAATAAAGAAATAATAACTATCCCACCTCCACTACTGTAAATGAGACTATATAGTGTGGGTGAAGCTGCAGAGATAATGAATAAACTTTACTCAAATCACTTTCAATGTCTTTCTATTGCCTCCTAATTGTTAAGTTACACTATAACAGCTTTATTAAAATTGATTTTCTGTGTTGAGCCATGTTTTTTTTTTTTGAGACACGGTTTTGCTTGTCGCCCAGGATGGAGTGCAGTGATGTGATATCGGCTCACTGCAACCTCCGCCTCTTGTGTTCAAGCAATTCTCCTGCCTCAGCCTCCCAAGTAGCTGGGATTATAGGCACCCACCACCACACCTGGCTAATTTTTTTGTATTTCTAGTAGAGAGGGGTGTCACCATGGTGGGCAGGCTGGTCTCGAACGCCTGACCTCAGGTGATCCGCCCACCTCAGCCTCTCAAAGTGCTGAGATTACAGGTGTGAGCCACCACACCTGGCCAAGCCATGTTTTCAATTAATTATACTATTAAGAAGAAATGTGTCACTAAGATACAACCTTACATTCTTATTCTTCAGCAGTATAAGACAGAAAAGAAATAGCATCTATGTGGTCTAGGATACTTTATGATATCCAAAATATTTGAATATTTTACTTGAAGTTTGATATACTTTTTTTATTATTTGGAATATTCAAAAACTGTTTCTTCAAAGCCAGGTGCGGTGGCTCATGCCTGTAATCCCAGCACTTTGGGAGACCAAGGTAGGCGAATACATTTGAGTTCAGAAGTTCGAGACCAGCCTGGACAACATGGCAAAACTCTACTAAATATACAAAAATTAGCCAGGCATAATGGTGTACACCTGTAGTGCCAGCTACTTGGGAGGCTGAGGCAGAAGAATCGCTTGAGCCCGGGAAGTGGAGGTTGCATTGATCTGAGATTGTATCATTGCACTCTGGCCTGGGCAACAGAATGAGACCCTGTCTCAAAACAAACAAACAAAAAAACAAAACCAACCAAAAAACCATATATATACATAGTTCCTTCAACTGCTTTTAAAAAGTCAAGTGTATAACTTAAAAGTTTCAAAAAAATTATGCTGAAATATGCCCCCACCAAAGTAAGAATACAAGAAAAAGAGAAAATGTGTCTTTATAATTTCAAATTAGAGGAAATTTATAATTGTCAGTGTGAGTCCATCTCTAATATGTATTATCAAACATGTCTTAATGGGCATGGTATAGTGGCTCACACCTGTAATCTCAGCACTTTGAGAGGCTAAGGCGGGCGGATCATTTGAGGTTGGGAGTTCAAGACCAGCCTGGCCAACATGGTGAAACCCCATCTCTACTAAAAATACAAAAATGAGCCGGGAATGGTGGCGGGCACCTGTAATCCCAGCTACTTGGGAGGCTGAGGCAGGAGAATTGCTTGAACCCGGGAGGCAAGAGCTGCAGTGAGCAGAGATCACACCACTGCACTCCAGCCTGGGCGACAGTGAGACTTCATCTCAAAAAAAAAAAAAAAAAAAGTCTTAACGATCTTTTACTATGGTGTACAACACAAAATATCATCAGAAAGATTTCAATGTAAGATTTTTACATATATAAGTATATATAAATAAATGAAAAAGATGTAAAATACATAAAATGTATATGTTTTTCATACATATATACGAAAACTAATGACATTCAAACTCTTTTCTAGGAGTATAGTCATTAATATGAGACATAGTGTTATTGTAGAAACCTTCAAATTTTTAAGAGAGTTCCAGAATGAATAAAGCAATTATTGCTATGAAATATCAAACTTTATATCCTACTCACTGCCTCTGTGACTTCTGTAGGGCAATTATATGGCCACAGATGAAACAGGAGGAAGCTAAAGAATTTCAAGTCAAGAAAGGGCAAAGTTACACCATGTCCTGAGGCAAGCTGAGGGAGAAGACCTCAAAGTCTGGTCATCAGAGTTCAGTTTTATCCGGAAAACCCCAAACTTCCCTGATTTTCTTACAATAAAGTCACAGGCTACAGCTGAATTTCTAGATTTTGAACAGCACTTTGCAACCTGTACTTTGTAACATTCCTGGCTTTCTCTGATAACGTCATGACTTCCTGTGAAATTCTTTAAACAGAATCCATTTTAATTCACTACAGTTTAAATACTACACATGCCATACATCACTTTCAGGGAGAGAATGGAAAAAGGGGCTGTGGTGGAAAAAAGAGAACAAGGAATTTCTAGAGGTGGGAAAAAAAATTCCAGGAATAACGTTTCAAAAAGAAAATAGTAGAATTTACTTACCAAAATGCAAATTATGTGCAGCATGCCTCACTTGTATGAAGTTGAACAATTTAGATACCAGTTCAACAATCACTGACTGAACACCAACTATATCCAGGGAACGGAGAGGGCACTGAAAGATCTACTTCCCCTTGGGCTACACTGGAGGAAGGCCTCTAGCAGAAGAGTTGGCCCCTGCAAGTCTTGGCCCTTACATTCAGGGAGCTGCCACTGCTTTATGCAGAGCCTTGAGAATGCAGTGACACTCTCTAGCCAGGTAAGGTGGTCCAGGCACTCCCCTGGGTGCTGGTCCCAATCCTCCAAGGACACATTTAGGGAGTCAAAGGGGATTTGCAGTGATTACTGACCGGTTAATACTTTTTGTTTGTTTCTAAAACTTTGGTTCTTAAACTTGGCGCGCAGAGTGACCACATTCTCTTTATCCTGAGCGCTGTTGAATTCTTCCAAATCCTTCCTAGATCGGTTAAGTCATTCTGTATGACAGAACAGCTTTTGATGCCTGCTCCTGTTTGAAAAATCTGAACGCAGTAAAGGACGACGCAGGGAGAAAGTTTACTGAGCACTTCCACCTCTTTGGATGAAAGTTGTAAAATATCCCCTTTTTGTGTGATAGCAGATCTCATTTTTAGAAACCCATGCCACATGCCACATGAAGTCACAAATCAAATATCCCTCCTAACTATCAGGGTGATGAAAGAAGTGCATAAGGAAGACAATACTATTTTATCGGGGAGGGTCATGGAAAGAAGTAGTCTTTTTTTTTTTTTCCTTTCATCTGGTGGAGATGGCAGACTGGGTTTTGTTTTTCCTCCTTTTTATTTAAACTACAGGAACATGGTTCCAACTGGAATTGCCTATTAAAACCATCCATTCTTAACAGCAAAATCGATATCCACGGTGTCTCCGGGCAAAGCGCCCGTTACCCCGTGAGCCTCTGCCACAGGTGGACGCAGAGCAACAGACACTCGGTTGCCCTCAGGTCCCTGCGCCCGGAGACAGAAGCCACGCGGGCGCGCTCGAGGTCCTGGGCTCTTTGTCGAGAGCCCGGCGTGGCGCCGGGCCCTATTGGTTACGCGTCCGCTCGGGGCCATCCTGGTCCCTCGTCCCTCCCCCATCCTGGCGTACAGGACCTGGACGCAGGCCACATGGTCCTCGGACTGTCCGGTCCCGGGTCCCCGCTAGGCGCGTCTACACCACGCCGCTAGACCCACGCGGCGAGGGGCTGGGCTTCCCCGGGACCCACGGGTTCCGAAGTCCGCCCCCGTCCCCGCCTCCCGAGCTCACCGCTTTGAGATCCAGAACGCCGTCCTTGGCCTCCTGCAGCAGCGACACAAACTTGGTAGTGAGCAGCCCCAGGCTCTTCTCGTGCCTGCTGCTGCCGCCCCCGGCGCCCCCAAGCTGCTGCGGCGGCGGCGGCTGCGGGGCTTTCGCCTGCGGAGGCTGCGGCTGCGGCCGCTGGCCCTGCCCCTGCCCTGGCGGCGCCTGCTGGCCCGAGCTCGCGGGCTCTGCCGCCGCCATCGCGTCCCGGCCCCGCGGTGGTCGGGCCCCCGCGCACTTTCGCTCGCCGGCCCCGCCCGCGGCCACCTGCCGGGTCGGCTCCGCTGCGGCCGCTTCCCCGCCGGTCGAGAGCGGCAGTACTGGTCGCTGGCTGCTGCAAACAACAGGTGTGCGGCGCCCACGGGAGTCTGGGCCGCTTGTCACGCCGGGTCTCCGCCCCCTCCCCAAGCCCGGGGAAGCGTGAATGAGGCCCACGACCGTGGGGGGAGGGGGTGGAAACGAAGAGAAGGGGCTGCGAGGGGTGGGGACCTGAGTTTAAATGGCAGGAAGTGACGCCGCCGCCCGCCGTTGCCTAGAAACACATTTTTCTGTAGGAAGGAGGAGCGCACGAGGAGGAGGAGGGGTGTCGGCGTGTGTGTTTCACACTCGCCTCCCTGGCGTTCGCGAGCTGACCCGAGGAATGGTAATCTCACGCGGCAAAGCAGGGAGAAAGAAAAAAAGGAAACAAAAGAAAAAAGACTTTTATCTGGGCAGAAAGTCACAACGCCCAGCGGCCAAACGTTTTTGAGCCGTGAAGTTGGTTGACTGCTCAGTTTGCAGAGCTTCTGCAGTGGGTTACTTACTTTCTCTGGACGGTTTCTGCTATCTTGCTCTTTTCAAGCTCTAGCATCGTTTGCAAATATTTCAATGACTTGGACCAAGTGCAGCGTTTTACTTTATAGCTCATCCTTTTAGATTCGGAGTACAGGAAAAGGCATCGTGGAGTGTTAGGGTTGGTTTTCATCAGTCCTTTCTAAGGCCTTTCCTTTCTACATAGAGAAACGCGTAGAGAGAGAAGTTGTGAATTGCCAAAGACAGGCCGTTAGATTCCAGATCTCCTGTGTTTGACCAAAGTTCTTAGTATCTTATTTGAACCAAATTATATTGTATTTGGAATATTGGGTAGCCACAGGCCCTTGGACTTCAGTGATATTCCAAACCGTTGATGGCAAATGACATCATGGAGATACGAGTAAAAGAAAGTTGGGATTTTTTTTCCTCATTATATTACAAACTCTTGAGAATCCAGACTAAATTTTAAATGACTTGGTGTCACACTCAACACTTTGAATATAGTAGACAATAAAGATTAGGTGAATGAGACCAGTAGCGGTGGCTTACTGGTGATTACGTCTGTAATCCCAGCACTTTGGGAGGCCAAGGCAGGCAGATCATTTGAGGTCAGGAGTTCGAGACCAGCGTGGCCAACATGGTAAAAACCCCATCTCTACTAAAAATACAAAAATTAAAATTAGCTGCGCATGATAGTGCCCGCCTATAGTCCCAGCTACTCCAGAGGCTGAGGCAGGAGGATCTCTTAAACCTGGGAGGCAGAGGTTGCAGTGAACCGAGATGGCACCACTGCACTTCAGCCTGGGCAACAAAGTGAGACTCTGTCTGAAAAAAAAAAAAAAAAAAAAAAAAGATGATTCCATATGGCAGTAATTAATCAGGAAGATTTCATGCAAAGAAAGATTTTGCTAAATTTTACATAACAATAAACTAACAAAAAAAGGTCACTGAAGTAGCATCAAATACAACAGCAGCGTTAACTAGTAAAGCTGAACACACCATTTATATAACACATCATAGGCACAGAACTTTATAACCTTTATTAATAACCTATTCATAATAGCCTTTATTTTAATCAAATAAATCTATAAACTTAAAGTTGAAAATCTGAAGTAAAACATGAAAAATTCAGTTGATGCAACCATTTTCCAACAACCTATGTGAGAAAGGCTATCTCTATGTGATTTGACATGTTTTGCAAATTTATTTTATTGATTATTGTCAAAGAGCATTTCTTAGAACGTACTGAATTAGGAAGATTCTAATTTGTTTTTAACTTTATAACAGAACATTCTGTTATATGTGCAGGGACAGGAATTAATAAAACTAAATGTACTGATATTTTTAAAACTTACACTTCTATGGTGTCTTAGTTTGAGAAAGTACCATAAACTGGGTGACTTAAATAACAGAAATTAATTTTCTCACAGTTCTGGAGGCTGCAAGTCCAAGATCAGGAGGCTGCCATGGCCAGGCTGTGGTGAGGGCCCCCTTCTTGGCTGTCGGATTGTGGCTTTCTCATTGTGTCCTCATATGGCAGACAGAGAGAGAGAGAGACAGAACAGAGAGAGCACAAGCTCTCAGATTTCTTACAAGGGCACTAATTCCATCTGAGGGCTCAATCTTCATGACTTCATCTAAACCTAATCACCTCCCAAAGGCCCCACCTGCAAATACCATCACATTGAGGGTTAGGGTTTCAACATACAAATTTTTGGGAGATACAGTTCAGTTCATGGCATGTAATCATATTTTATAGTAGCTATCTTGGTAATTTTTAAAAACAATATCTTTTAAATTTCAGCTTTAAAAGGTTTTCTACAAAGCAATTATTAGTGATTCTAAAAGGTCAATTAAAAATTTATTTTGTACTGTTATTTGTGTTTTTCACAATGAATTTTTCATCTCTTTAGATTGCCTGGGGTTCAATTAGAAATTATTCACAAATCAGCAGCCATTTTAATTAGCATTCAAAATCTTATGTCTGTCTGAAGAGCTAAAAATCACTTATACCAGTGGTTCCCAGACCTTAGGAAGAAAAATAATCTACAATGTTTGTTAAAAATATAGATGCTTGGATCCAAACCCCAGGGATCAAATTAGCATTTGATATGAGAATATGACCTGTGAGTCCATATTTTTCACAGTTCAGATAATTCTAATGCACAACATAGTCACTCTTTGAGAAACACCAAATAGCACAATGAAAAATAATGCAATATATATTTTTCCTAAAAATCGACAAAGAACAGAGACTGATAATGCAAAAGGTTTTTAAATATTGCTAAATGTTTTTAAAAATTCTATTTTTTAAAAAAAACTAAGAAGCATGATTTTTAAAAAGTTATGATACAAATAACCTTTAAGAACATGATATTGATCAGTTTTGTAATCTAACTTTTATTTCTGTATCCTTTTGACTATAAAGGAAATAACTCTCAAAAGTCTGTAAATTCCTACATCAGTTCTTTGTGCCATTTCTGACAAAGGCTTAAAAATTATTTCCAGCAAAAGTCAAAACTGGCTGGGTGCTCATGCCTGGCCGGGCACTCACTGTTTATAATCCTAGCACTTTGGAGGGCTGAGAGAGGAGGATCGCTTGAGCCCAGGAGCTCAGGACCAGCCTGGACAACATGGCAAAAACCCATTTCTACAAAAACTACAAAAATTAGCCGGGTGTGGTAGTGCACACTTGTAGCCCCAGCCACTAGTAGAGAGGCTGAGGTGAGAGGATCCCTTGAGCCCAAGTGGTCAAGGATGTAGTGACCTGTGATCCTGCCACTGCACTCCAGCCTGGGTGATAGAGTGAGAATCTATCTTTAAAAAAAAAAAAAAAAAAAAAATTGAACTAAACTAAATTTCATTGACCTGTAAGGGTAATAAATGCATGACAGTAATCCTTCATTAAATTCAAATTATGCTGATTAGTTGGGTAGATACTATTATCTATTATAATATTGTTTATATGCCCCTGATTAAATTTTCTTTTTTAAATGCATTTTGGAAGTGCAGCTCCTTATCTAGTTCAGGACTAAGAGGGAAGGCTTAAATATTTTGAAATAGAACAATTTATTAGTCCACAGCTCTTTAAACTTATAGTATCTAACATTTGTGGAATTTCACAAATGCCATTTTTATAGAGATTCAGGATCAATTTACAATATGTACAGTTTTGTCATAATCTGGTAGTTAAATATTTAAGAAAATCCAACACAATTTTGTTTATTGATGATGGCAGACTTTTTTTTTTTTGAGATGGAGTTTTGCTCTTGTTGCCCAGGCTGGAGTACAATGGCATGATCTCAGCTCACTGCAATCTCCACTTCCCAGGTTCAAGTGACTCTCCTGCCTCAGCCTCCCTAGTAGCTGGGATTACAGGCATGTGCCACCATGCCCAGCTAATTTTGTTTTTTTAGTAGAGATGGGGTTTCGCCATGTTGGTCAGGCTGGTTTCGAACTCCTGACCTCAGGTGATCCACCCACCCTGGTCTGCCAAAGTGCTGGGATTACAGGCATGAGCCACCACACCCGGCCATGCAGACTGATTTTTTAAGTGCAATTAGCCCATTTGGTGATCATGAATGGTTGGAACTTGAAACTCTCAGATGCCCTTTGAGCTAACAAATCTCCATCAGAAGGCTGCTACATCAACCCTAATACCTCCTTCTTGTAATCTGTTAGTGAAAATAAAATACAGTTTTCCATTTTTCCTTTCAAAACCTTGCAACATACAGGCCAGGCACAGTGGCTCACACCTGTGATCCTAGCACTTTGGGAGGCCAAGGTGGGTGGATCACCTGAGGTCAGGAGTTCGAGACAAGCCTGACCAACATGGTGAAATCCCGTCTCTACTAAAAATACAAAAAAGTAGCCGAGCGTGTTGGCATGTGCCTGCAATCCCCGCTACTTGGGAGGCTGAAGCAGGAGAATCACTTGAACCTGGGAGGCAGAGGTTGCAGTGAGCCACGATCGCACCACTGCACTCCAGCCTGGACAACAAGAGTGAAACTCCGTCAAAAAAAAAAAAAAAAAAAACTTGCAACATACAAACATCTATCTTCTGCACTTTCTAGGTTAAAAAAATAGAAATATATGTTTCAAAGATTATGAATCCTTTTATTATGATAAACAACATCATTCTTTGCCCACTCATGATATGCTTGGTACAACAATATGAGAGAAAATGCATAGACTTTGTCTTCAGAAGTTTGTACCCTATAAGTAGAAACAGGAAGTGCAGATTATACTCAAGCATACATAGAAATATAATTCATACTCTAGAGAGATTTTAAGTTTTATTTAGCGACTAGTACTCTACGTTTTTGCAAAACTTTATGAAGATTGCATCACTAAAGACAGCAAGCACACAGATTTTGTAAGTTCGGTAATGTTGACAAAATAATAGGTGATGCATGCCAACATTGTTAATACTGAGATTAGGAGGGGCTTTCCAGGATTAAGTTACAAAGCAATGTTCTCTTCGCCACTATTCAGGGGGGAAAAAAAAAATCTGACGATCAAAGAAGCCCCTCCTCATACCACCAAAGGTTTAAAGACAACGGGAAGAAGTGGTGTAGACAGATCTCAAAGCCTCTCACCATGTCCTATTCTCAATGAGACATAGCCTAAGAAAATAGAATCTAAAAGCAAGACAGATACATTACCAACAAA